CGTCCGAGCACGAGGAGTCCCCAGCGTAGCTGGCGATGTCCGAGCGACGAACAGTCCGGTCAACTAGTTGGCGGCGAAGTGAGCATTGAGTAGAAGCGACCGGCGAATAGTTCGATCAACTAGTCGGCGATGAAGTCCACGAACCTAGCGGTTCGACTAGTTGATCGATGGAGAACTCTGAGCACCAGGTGGTTCGATCACCTGGACGATGATGCTACAATACAAATATGTAGAACGGGTAGTACATGATGTAAAAATATATGAACTCCGGAGAAAAATCAGCAATGGTGATGAAATAGCGTATGCAGCTCGGCTATTAGTTGGTGCGAACACTTAGTTTTATTTATATTTAATATAAATCGCCCGATCAGTTAGTTTATAACTGAGTCTCCAGCCCTAGCTAGCCCGTTAACCATAATGCGGAGCATGGAGCCCGTGTGCGTGTAGGAAGAACAAAGTGTTGCTAAGGAGTCGCTGCCGACCACCCATAACGCAGAGGGCAGGCGCTCGTGCACGTGTAGAGAGAAACCGGAGACAGGGCCGTCTCTGGGGACATCCGAGCATCAACATGACTATTCGGGGGTTCGCCGTAGACTTAGCTGTATGTCATCTTTAAGATGGTATACATAAAAGAAAATCGTTTGGAGAACAAACTTGGAGAAAACAGCTCGGAGAAACATTATGACAATATACGAAGATTGGAGAATATTTAGAAGAATATTAAAGCGTGACTTAGCTTTAGACAGAACGTTAGGTCAGCGATTCATTGTGGTAATCGAACGTGGCTGATGCTCCAGGAGTATGTGCGTGCATGCCCCATGATGCACACACGTAGATGCGAGTTTCGCTTGCATGTTGATGTACGCTCATGGTCCCACGGACTTCATATCTTTAATTAATCATCTTGCATGGTAGGTGCATGCATGCTTTCAATCTTGATTAGCTTAGTGCTACGTGGTGTTGTTGGTGATGACATCTGTGCCTATCGGCCAGTCGGCGGTCGGCTCAGCGGGCACGGAGATGAAGCACACCGGATTAGCCAGGACGCTTGCCGATCCGATCTGCCAGTGGGACAGCTCGCGCGGGAAGCACGGTGAGTCCCCGCTGTAGGTCAAAATCGCTGTTGTTGCCGAAGGGTGTTGCCGCTGCCGCTAGAAGCCGAGTTGCCACGGATGGCGTTGATCTTGAGATCCCATCTGGTTCGCCATGGATCAGAACGCATAGCCCCACGATGGGCGCCAACTGTCGACAAAAGATGCTCGCCAGTCCTACGAGGGGTATCCCACGAAGGTAGATTGATCGGTGGAGGTGTGCGTAATCAGGAATCGGATGGTGACACAAGGTGCAGAGACAGCGATTTAGATAGCTTCGGGCCGTCTGATCGACGTAATACCCTACGTCCTGTGTCTTTGTTGTATTGTATTGAATATGAGATGTATGTAGATATCGACTAGGGGACCCCTGCCTCTCCTTATATACTCTAGAGGGGTAGGATTACAAGGAAAGTATCCTATTTGGTACTATACAATATCTTGCGGTGCACGTCGACCAGTGCCGTGCACGCCTTGATCTTGTGGGCTGGGCCACCTCTGATGGTGTAGCCCATGTCTTGTCTTGTGGATACCAGGGGTCATATCCCCCATAGCTAGTTCCCGAGCGCCTTGTATCCTTTGAGCAACGCTATCTTGAACAAATCCGAGCACTTTAACATGAAGCCGATCAGTTTAACTGGTGATCGGAGCAGTGGAAGTCAAAATCGACCAGTTTAACTGGTGACCTGGGTGGTGAAAGTAAACGTCGACCAGTTTAACTGGTTAGGAGACCTCGGATTTAGCCAAGTAAGGCTTGCTAGAAGGATGTAAGGGGCTCAAGATAAAATTTGAAAATTCTTCCACCTGGGAGAAGTGTAGCCACTTAGATTCCATCAATAAGGAGGGTAAATCAAGAAATAAGCACTACATTCACCGCCAGGTGAAGTGTAGCCACTTAGTCCCCGAACCTGCTGGAAGATGAAGAATGAATCTTGTAGCAGGGTTAAAGAAAAGAAGTCTGAAAGCTTGCTGACATCAACTAACATGCACGTATCAAGACCCCGGACGTGCTACCCAAGATCAGCATCCTGATCCGAACAGCATGGAGCAGCTTGATAGCACACCGATGAGACGTAGCAACATCCAACCACCAAGGGAGTCCTCGGCTTAGCTGGCGACGCTTGCACGAAGAATCCAAACACCGAGGACTCCCCAGCGTAGCTGACGATGTCCGAGCGCCAAGGAGTCCCCAGCGTAGCTGGCGATGTCCGAGCACCGAGGAATCCCCGACGTAGCTGGCGATGTCCAAGCACCGAGAAGTCCCCGGTGTAGCTGGCGACGTCCGAGCACCGAGGAGTCCCCGGCGTAGCTGGCGACGTTCGAGAACCGGAGGAGTCCCCAGTGTAGCTGGCGACGTCCGATCATCGAGGAGTCCCTGGCGTAACTGGCGACGTCCGAGCACCGAGAAGTCCCCGGCGTAGCTGGCGATGTCCGAGCACCGAGGAGTCCCCGGCATAGCTGGCGACATCCAAGCACCGAGAAATCCCTGGCGTAGCTGGCGATGTCCGAGCACCGAGGAGTCCCCGGCGTAGCTGGCGATGTCCGAGCACCGAGGAGTCCTCTACGTAGCTGGCGATGTCCGAGCACCGAGGAGTCCCCGGCGTAGCTGGCGAGGTCCGAGCACCGAGGAGTCCCCGACATAGCTGACGACGTCCGACCACCGAGGAGTCCCTGGTGTAGCTGGCGACATCCGAGCACCGAGGAGTCCCCTGCGTAGCTGGCGATGTCCGAGCGACGAACAGTCCGGTCAACTGGTTGGCGATGAAGTGAGCATTGAGTTGAAGCGACCGGCGAACAGTTCGATCAACTAGTCGGCGACGAAGTCCATGAACCTAGCGGTTCGACCAGTTGATCGGTGGAGAAGTCTAAGCACCAGGTGGTCCGATCACCTGGATGATGATGCTACAATACAAATATGTAGAACGGGTAGTACATGATGTAAAAATATATGAACTCCGGAGAAAAATCAGCAATGGTGATGAAATAGCGTATGTAGCTCGGCGATTAGTTGGTGCGAACACTTAGTTTTATTTATATTTAATATAAACCGCCCGATCAGTTAGTGTGTAGCTGAGTCTCCAGCCCTAGCTAGCCCGTTAACCATAATACGGAGCGCGGAGCTCGTGTGCGTGTAGGAAGAACAAAGTGTTGCTAAGGAGTCACTGCCGACCACCCATAACGCAGAGGGCTGGCGCTCGTGCACGTGTAAAGAGAAACCGAGAGATAGGGCCGTCTCTGGGGACATCCGAGCGTCAATATGACTGTTCGGGGGTTCGCCTTAGACTTAGTTGTATGTCATCTTTAAGATGGTATACATAAAAGAAAATCGTTTGGAGAGCAAACATGGAGAAAACAGCGCAGAGAAACATTATGGCGATATACGAAGATTGGAAAATATTTAAAAAAATATTAAAGCGTGACTTAGCTTTAGACAAAACGTTTAGTCGGCGATTCGTTATGGTAATCGAACGTGGCTGATGCTCCAGGAGTATGTGCATGCATGCCCCATGATGCACACCCGTAGATGCGAGTTTGGCTTGCGTGTTGATGTACGCTCATGGTCCCACGAACTTCATATCTTTAATTAATCATCTTGCATGGTAGGTGCATGCATGCTTTCAATCTTGATTAGCTTAGTGCTACGTGGTGTTGTTGGCGATGACATCTGTGCCTATCGGCCAGTCGGCGGTCGGCTCAGCGGGCACGGAGATGAAGCACACCGGATTAGCCGGGATGCTTGCCAATCCGATCTACCAGCAGGACAGCTCGCACGGGAAGCACGGCGAGTCCCCGCTGTAGGTCAAAATCGCTGTTGTTGCCGAAGGGTGTTGCCGCTGCCGCCAGAAGCCGAGTTGCCACGGATGGCGTTGATCTTGAGATCCCATCTGGTTCGCCATGGATCAGAACGCACAGCCCCACGGTGGGCGCCAAATGTCGACAAAAGATGTTCGTCAATCCTACGAGGGGTATCCCACGAAGGTAGATTGATCGGTGGAGGTGCGCGTAATCAGGAACCGGATGGTGACACAAGGTGTAGAGACAGCGATTTAGACAGGTTTGGGCTGTCTGGTCGACGTAATACCCTACGTCATGTGTCTTTACTGTATTGTATTGAATATGAGATGTATGTAGATGTCGACTAGGGGACCCCTGCTTCTCCTTATATACTCTGGAGGGGTAGGGTTACAAGGAAAGTATCATATTTGGTACTATACAATATCTTACGGTGCACGTCGACCAGTGTCGTGCACGCCTTGATCTTGTGGGTTAGCCTACCTCTGATAGTGCAGCTCATGTCTTGTCTTATAGATACCGGGGGGCCATATCCCCGCACATATGTCCTCTAACCGTTCTTCAAATAGCGCCCCTACCATGGTCAGCCCGCATGCCTTTCTTCAGCTGCCAGTAATTCAGCAGTTTGTTCTTTGTTGGTTGTTTAGTTTGCATCCTCTTAATAAATAAGTAAATGTGTACTTTACAGCTGTGGTACTGATTAAGCCTGATGCCTTCAGTCCCCTGTAACCTGCATGATTCAGATCGACAGTATAGTACTACGTCGCGGAGTCCTCGATTACGCAACTTTGCAAACCCGTGTACTAATCCTTTGTGATTAGTCAATGTAACTATATCACTAATCTGCATACATATATGCTCTCTAAGTCGGTACCAAAAGCTCCACCAACCCTACACATATAGAACGCAGTTTAGCACACTGCATCAGGTTATGGCGTCATGCTACTACCTTGATCAACAGCTGACATGCCGGTCCACATGTCAGCGGCGCTACCGGGAACCAGCAGGAGAGAACAAAACTTCAACCACTCTGCAGCCGAGAGAAGGCGCGCACGGCCGGGGCACCAAACGAACAAAACAAATCTTGGGAGGAGGGGGGGTCTTCAGTCTTGTCGCTCACGGCCGCAGCGGCCGGAGGTGGACGGGCACGCCGTGCTTGGGGCGGAGGGTGAGCACGTTCACCGGCGCGTGGCGGTAGTCGTCGGAGATGGCGATGCGGAAGTGGGACAGCAGCATGGCGAGCACGACCTTGGCCTCGACGAGCGCGTACGCCTGCCCGACGCAGTTGCGCGGGCCCGACGCGAACGGCAGGAACGCCGGGCGCCGGCCCGCCGTGAACCGCTCCGGCCTGAACTCGTGCGCGTCGGGGCCCCAGATGGACTCGTCGTGGTGGATGGCCAGCACCGGGATCCACACCGACAGGCCGCGCGGCAGGTGCAGGCCGCTGGTGAGGCGGATGTCCTCGAACACCATCCGGGGCAGCAGCGTCGCCGGCGGGTACAGCCGCAGCGTCTCGTGGATGATCATCTGCAGCTGCGCGCAGAAGAACACGGACAACGTCAGAACAAGGCAATGCCAAACATCACCGGCTCACCGCGACGATGGATAGGACGGACGGACGTACCACGGTGAGCTTGGAGAGGTCGTCGTACGACGGCGGGTCGTCGCCGCAGACACGGGCGACCTCGGCGCGGGCCCTGTCCTGCCACTCCGGGTGCGTGGCGAGCAGCATCAGCGCCCAGGTGAGCAGCAGCGCCGACGTGTCGTGCCCCGCGAAGAAGAACGTCTTGCACTCGTCGATCACCAGCTGTAGGTCGTAGCTGAACTGCTGCTCCTGCTGCTGTCCCGCCGCCGCCCCGCCCTGCTTCTTCTTCTCCATCTCGGCCAGCAGCATGGCCAGCAGGCCCCGGCCGTAGGCCAACGTCGTGCGGCCCTCGTCGGCGATCTCCCTGCTCCGCCCGATGGACTCCGTCAGCACGGTCTCCAGTTCGCCGTTCAGCCGCCTGATCTCCCTCCTGTACTTGCTCGGGAAGTACCTGCACACACAACGACGTCCAGACAGTTTCAGACACGAAGTACGTCAACGCACCAGGTAGTGTGCATGTCCAGAGAGTTGTTTACTGATGACAGGCGTACGGCTATGGGGTTGTGTCAGTGACGATGGAATCGTTTCGAGTCGAGGCATCAGACAAGCCGATGCCTCGCAGCCTCGGCCTCGGTTCAGTGTGCGTGCCATGCCAGCGTCCAAAAGTCCCCGGACAGGCGCTGGTAGTGGAATGGCGCACTAGAGAGTGGAAACGGATTGATTAATCGATCGCTTAAGCATGATTAGTAGCAATGAGAATTAATTAGCTAGCTTATTAAGGTTATTTGAGGTCGCAGGCCGGCATGATCGAGCAGATGCGGGCATGGGCAGGGACAGAGGTAGCGACAACGGCCAGGCAAGACAGTGAGCGTGTGCGTAGCGTACTGCGTAGGTGCACGGGTTACGAGACAAAGATGAGCGACGGGCCGGCGGCCGGCATCGAGGGTTGCCGAGGAGACGGGATCACTCACTGGCTGCCGGGGATCCAGAGGTGGCGGCTGGAGCTCGCGGTGAGGCGCTGCAGGTCCTCGAGGAGACGGAAGATGAGCTTTCCGGTATCATAGCTCGTGTCGAACTCGGTGCGCGAGATGATGTCGCCGGTGAGCCGAGTCATGTACCCGCCGATCTCCACCTCGCGACGCCGCCCGCCGCCGGGCGACGGCGCCGACGCTGCCTCCTGGAGCGCCCGAATCGTCTGCTTCGTGCACTCCACCATGTGACCCACGCGTCCCTGCAATACCCCCGTGACGTCAGCGGCCACCACGACCAGTCCAGGAAAAAGAAACGAGAAAAAACGAGAAAAAAACAGAAGAGAGAGAATGGAAATGACGGCGGCGGCGCGCTCGACGGACCTTCAGCTTGTCAGGCATGAACACCGGCGCGATGACGTGGCGCTGGTGCGACCAGTGCGCGCCGTTGGCCATGAGGAGCCCTCGGCCGATGAAGTGCCTGGTCCCCTGGCGCTGCAGCCACGACTTGCCGGTGGCGCTCGCCGCGTACTTGGACGACAGGAACTCTTTGATCTGCGCCGCGTCCGTCAGGCACAGGCGCGGCTCGCTCCCGTACCAGTAGACGAACAACTTGCCTGCAGCGCACGGAGGCACACACGCGTCACAAGAACATTCCACCGTCGTAAAGGACTAAAGGTACGCGGTCAACGGCGCAATGCGGCGGCGGCCTCTGGTTACATTCTAGCCATGTCAGACTCACCGTATGTCCTGGACCAGAGCACGTAGTGCGGCATGAGGCGGCCGACGATGTCGTGGCTCAGCGCCGGCATGTCGTCGGCGGTGGCCTGCGCCACGAGCGCCGACACGTCGCGGAGGTTGCCGATGAGCGGGCGCGAAGGGGGGCCGTGGACGCCCTGCCGGGCCATGATCCGGCAGATTCTGAGAGGCGACAGGAAGTAGCAGGACAGGGTGATCCATGCCGCCCTCAGGAGCAGTATCAGGACAGGGGACGCCAACATCATGAGCGTCACGAACGCCATTGAAGGAGGAGAGCCAAAGATTTGTGTGTGTGTGGGGGGGGGGGCGGCGGCCGGCAATGCACAGATTTGCTCGGGTCTGTGGGCTATATATATAGGCATAGCTGGTCCGGAGGGGAAAGGACAAATCTCCCACAGTTGCTCATTACCATCAATGTTCCTTATTTAATCTGTTTGGTTGGCTGGTTCGTTTTTGTTGCTGGTTCGTGAAGAAGTATTGTTGGTTGGTTTGTGTGAGAGAAAAATACTGTTCCGGCTGAAAATTTACGATCGTTTACGACAAGCCACAGCCAAACAGGCTGTTATTTTTAGGGCTAGATTTGAAAGCATTTAATTCAGTCCATATTTCGTCAAATATCTTTTCGTCCTTGGCTCCCTATTTAATTTCAATGGCTAAAAGTTTGGTAAAACATTGAGCTTTTGCCAGTTTGGTTACCTTTTTTTCTGAACAAGAAGAGTAGTATAAACAGGGAACAATAAAAGCGGGGGGTCTGCCCAGTTTAGGCATTTTTTGTGCTACTCCCACCGTCCTATCTCTCGAGAGGGAGTATATTCAGTAGCCAGCTATAAAACAAGTTATTTTGTAGCCACCTCTATTTATGATAATTTTATATACTAATTTACGATAATGTCACTACATATTTACGATAGTTGGGTTACTATAACGTATACGGATATTTACCATAATGTTATAGTAAACCACTTAGGAAGAAGTTACTATAATCTCGTAAATTAACATAATAATTATCGTAACTTAAAGTGGCTTCAGAATAAGTTATTTTGTACCCAGCTGCAGGGTAGTGTGTGTGTGTATATATATATATTGTGAGCTTAGGGCTCTCAGTAGCTATAGGAAGCCCCAGCCCAAACCCCTCTTGGTCCAACCAAATCAAGAAGCCAACCGGACCAGCCATCCAACTGGATCGCCCACCCAGCCCGCTGGCCCACCACCGGCCCAACAGGCCCCACCCCACCTTCCCATGCCCTATATAACCGCCCAAACCCTAATCCCCACCCATCCACACCTGGTCGCCACCTCCTGCCCAGCGTCGACCCCTGCCCGAGCACGCCCCGCTGGCCCTGGAGCGCCGCGGTCGCCCCCTGGAGCATGCGCCGCCATGCCTTGGAGCACCGACGGCTGGTGCCCGATGAGGTCGTCATGCTCGGGCACTGTGACGGCGACAGCAACGGTGCCCTGCGGCTCGCAGCCGCGCACGGGGATGGCTTCGGCTCACGGTGACAGTGGCGCGCGGCAGACTAGGAGCGCCGGCGCCAGATCTGGCAGTGAGGCCACCGGGGCACCTCCTTGCTCTCCCCGGGCGCGCGGTCTCCTCCCTCCTGGCGGCGCACACGACGGCCCTTGGAGGCAAAGTGGACGGCCTCCTAGATCCACCCGCCGGCCTCGCCCCCTGGATCGCGGCCCCCCGTCACTAGAGCGCCGCGGCCGCCCTCCTGGAGCACGCGCTGCCGGATCTGCCGGTGAGGAGCGGCGCATCCTGCATCCTGGCCGCCACGCGCCTATGGCGAGTACGCAACGAGGCTGGGGGACTGAGATGGCGACGATGCCCTGGAGCTCGCGGCCGTGCGCGGGTATGGCTACAGCGGATGGCAACGGCAGCGCGCGGCTGACGAGGAGTGGCAGCGGCAGATCTGGTGGAGGAGACGGCGACGGCGGGCGTGCGGTGGGGCAGCTGCGAGCTCGGCCGCGTTGACGGTGATGAGGCACAACGAGGATGACTAGGAGCTCGGCCACGCGGACGGTGACGGGATCCAGGCGGGTGAGGAGCAGCCGGGCGTCGTCGGATCTGGCGACGGGGAGCGGCGGCACCCCGGCTCCCCTCTCCACGTGACGAGCAGCGAGGCCACCGGGTCCGCCGCGACAGACGACGGCGTCATGGCGGCCACGAGGACTGCTATTGTGTCGCGGTGGCCGCGCTGACGGCGACTGCGTCGCGCTGGCTCGCTACCTGGCGGCCTGGGCGACTTCGGGACAGGGCCTGGCGGCCTGGGCAGCATCAGTAGTCTAGGTTTTTTTGATTGCAAGCATAGGTTTTTATGCATGGTGAAACTGTGATTCCGAGGATGTTGGATGATTTCTATGCTTAGTTGCATAACTTTCCACATAAGTTGAATTCATCTTCATTCTTTTGTTTGTTGATTTTGTGTTCCTATACTTGAGTGTATAAGTTTCTATACATAGCTAAATTGTAACTTGGTATACATTGTTGGTGTACTATACATTTGTTGATGCATAATTCTATGCAGTGTTTGGAGCAGTTTCTATGTGGTGACAAAATTAATTTTTATTCATCGAACTACTAATTTCTATGCAATGTCGGCGCCAAAAACATTTATGCGTATCTTGACTATTGATTCTACGAATATGATCATCCATCACATGCTATTTTTCAAATTTCAAAATTTGGAGACGATGAGATGGTCTTCATGTTTTACGCGTGTGGTCTCCATATTCTATGCATTATCCTCATGTTAATTCTACATTCACATATGGGGAAGCATGATGTTAGTGGAGGCAATTACCGTTGTGTCAGGTGGAATATCCATCTCGTGGAGAGATTTTTATGAGGTAACAAAATTAATTATTATTTATTCAACCACTAATTTCTATGCAACGTTGGCATAAAAAAACTTTTCTGTGCATCTTGACCAGTGATTCTATGCATCCAATCGTCCTCCCCTTCATTTTTTTCAAATTTCAAATTTTGGAGAAGACGAGATCGTCTCCATGTTTTTACGCTTGCAGTCCCAATGTTCTATGCATTGTTCCCATGTTAATTATACCCCCCATAGTGGGAAGCATGATGTTGGTGGAGGCAATCACGGTTGTGTCAGGTAGAATGTCCATCTCGCGGAGAGGATTTTAGGTTGTAACAAAATTAATTTTTATTCGTCCAACCACTAATTGCAATGCAATGTCGATGCCAAAAACTTTTCTACGCGTCTTGACCATTGATTTCTATGCATCCAATCCGCCATCATGTGCCATGATTCAAATTTCAAATTTTGTGAGAAGACGAGATCGTCTCCATGTTTTACGCTTGCGGTCTTCATATTCTATGCATTGTTCCCATTCCCACAGTGAGAAGCATGATTTTGGTGGAGGCAATTATGGTTGTGTCAGGTGGAATTTTCATCTCGTGGAGATGTTTTTAGGCAGGAATTAATTTTTACATCTTACTGTTGATTCTATGCATCCAATCGGCCATCACGTGCCATGATCCAAATTTCAAATTTTGAAGAAGACGAGATCGGCTCCATGTTTTATGCTTTCGGTCTCCATGTTTTATGCATTATTCTCATGTTAATTATACACACCCCATACATGCCATGATTCAAATTTCAAATTTTAGAGAAGACGATATTTTATGCATTGTTCCCATATTAATTATACACCCCCATAGTGGGAAGCATGATGTTGGTGGAGGCAATCACGGTTGTATCAGGTGAAATGTCCATCTCGTGGAGACATTATTATGCTGTAACAAAATTAATTTTTATTCATCCAACTACTAATTTCTATGCAACGTGGCGCAAAAAACTTTTTGCGCATCTTGACCATTGTTTCTATGCATCCAATCGGCCATCACGTGCCAGATTCAAATTTCAAATTTATGAATTTTAAATTTTTTTGAAAAAAATATTCACAATGGATCTTGATATCAGGAGTTTAATGGTGAAAACCGTTTTTGAATCGGATGCTTCGTTGAGGAACTATAATGAAAAAACGAAAGAGATTAGATTGGATGCGTGCATGCATGCATGCGTCAGCTTTGTCATGTTGTGTCAGGTGTAACGTAAAGCTCGCGGAGAGGTTTTTATGCAGCAACGAATTAATTTTCATTCATCCAACGATTAATTTCTATGCAACGTCGTGACAAAAATATTTCTGCGTAGCTTAACCTGGGATTTTATGCATCCGAATATTTGATCTGTTTGGTCTGCATTGGTCCCCCACCTGCGCGCACATCAACACCGCGGACCTGAATGGTTGGGCTGGCTAGGGGAGCTAGCTGGGGCTCTCCATTAACTATTTGAGCCCCGGGCTCCCAATATCCGGTCCCTCCCTCTATATCTATAAATATATTTCTATTTCTATCTATATCTATATCTATATTTTTATATACTCCATCCGTCCTCGAATACAATACATATCACCTTCAAAATTGGTACTGAATGTTCATACTCCTAGTTGACAGTTTATTAAAAAGGAAACCATGATTAAGGAGAGACTCCTTAATTATGTTTAATCTATGATACATGTGTCATTTGAGTATTCCTTTAAGTTATCTTATTTTTAAAATTGTTTTGCTGTATTACATGACGTGGAATATATATTATACACTCATTATTAAAGAGTGAAATGATTATGCCATCTACCTTTTTTAATTCCCACAATGCCCTAGTCTCCTCCTTATCTCATCTGCGATCCAAACTCATGACCCATGCTCGTATGAGTTAGAAATACGTATTTATGCGTCCATTAATGGTGTGTAGTCTGATTTCAATACATACTAGAACGAACAAACATGACCGTTACATCTAGAATATAATGCATTATCACCTTCAAAATCTGTACTGAAATTGTTCATACTCAAATTTGACATAGGACTAAAATCCAATCACAATTGTGTGCTTCGCTCCCACTGCGACTGATGGCGACTGTAGAAGTATAGATATTCGGTTAGGGATAGGAGAGTTGTATAGAAACTCTAGAGATAAAATAGGAGATGTTTAGTCCTATTTTTTTTATTCCAAATAGACTTAAAGTCCTACTAAGACATATATCAATTGTACCGACTATATATATAATAAACATAGACATGTTCAAAAAAAACATAGACGGCAGCCTAAAAGCAAGCTAAGCCGTTCCAATTTATATGCTATCTCTAACCAATCTATACTTGTAACATACAGCATGAACCGAATAGCCATGCCTGACACAATACGCAATCGTACTCATTAATTTAGTGCTAACTGATGTG